AAAAAAAAAAAAAAAAAAAAAAAAAAAAAAAAAAAGCTCCCCTGGTCTTGAGCTTTTATAAAAAAAAAAAAAAAAAAATATATATATATATATATATATATATATATGTGGAAAAAGACTAACCCCCCTAAACCCACCATCACCACAGTGATGAAGGCAGGTGGCAGCATCATGCTGTGGGAGTTATACACAACGAGGAGATATAGAGCTACACAGATATTTAGCCAAAACTGGAAATGGGCTGATTTGTACCAAAGTATATCCATGTGTTATAATGACCTAGTCAAATCCCATGCTTGAAATCCATTGGGAATATGGTGCAAGACACCCTCCAACTAATCAGACTGAGCCGAAATCAATGTCTTATTGTGTAAATGTTTAACGCCCAAAAGATCTTCCGTCTGCAGTTACACCAACAGTTAGCAAAATTTTTTGCTAAATCTGCATGCCACACTTTTCAGTTTTTCACTTCATGATTACATGTTACTTTGCGTTTGTCTTTTGCGTCAATGCCATTAAGATACATTGCAGTTTACGGAGGCAAAATAACAAAATGTGAAAAATCCTAAATTAGTGGATTTAGGGAAAAAAGGTGTATTTTTGCAAGCTTCTGCGTACGTTAAAACAGATTTCCCAGAAATATTAAAAGTCGGCTGCACTGCCACTGTGCAGGCAAATGTCCCCCTCTGACATGCGTATGTGCTAACAAACAGAAAAACACTCCGACTGACTGAGTGACAGACCGTCATGCCGACCGCCACCATGATTCTATGAAGGGCAAGCTCAATTAATTGGTGTCTCCGTGTGCGGGTAAGTTCTCCGAGCGGTGTGTGTGCAACGATAATGGTAGGTTGCACTGACAGGCAGGTTATTTAATAAATCCTGGAATGTGAAAGTCAGAAAGGAAGGACACACACTCAACATGAAGAGCCTCCTTTTTTTTTTTTTTTTTTAAATATATTTTATTTCTGCTCCGTATCTCGTCAGTCACAGCCCTCAAAACCTACTCCGATTGTCTTTCAGCACTCAAATCCGCTCACCCGTGCATACGCTTAGCCCTAATTGCGCGCCCACGTAAATACGGTTAATCGTCGGCACGCTCCCGCACGGTGACAGCAGCGCGGCTAACACACTCCGAGCGTGCATGAGCGGGCTGTGAAACGTGCTCGAGATCTCGCTCAATCAGTCTGATTTGTTTGTTTCCTCCTAAGCGTTTGAGGATTCCTCAAGGAGGAATAAAACTTTGTATAATCAAGTCAATTATGTCATTCAATCAAGTCGAAAATCATTTGGAGTCCCTTCTAACATCCATTGATTGCAAAGTCATGCTGAATATTTGTTCGCCGCCGTTCTGTCGTCACAATAACCCCGCCGTCGCTTGAAGCCGCAGACCCGGGGACGCGGCGAGGTCCTGAACTCGCTTTTGCAGGAGAAGAGCGAAAACAAAGTCCTTCACCTTGCACTTTTCCAGTCAAGAAAATACCTGGGATTTATAAAAGGGTGAGGAGGGGGGAGAGTGAGCAAGAAGTGTACAGTGCCTGAACAAAAGGGGAAAGAAAAAAAAACGTTCAATTAATTTATAAGAGCTCTTTTGTCTCCTTCAGGACATGGTACATTATGTGCCTGTGAAAAATCCATCCTTACTAAAACTCAAGGTCAAGTGTTGATGTTGCACAGAGTGGATCAGCTGAAGGTGACCTTGACTGATGTGGAATATGACATGAGGGAAATGGATCTCTGCTTGGTGTGGGGAAATTATCTGTGAAATGCTGCCACTGTATCAAAGCCTGTTTGTGTCTGCATACAAGCCGGAGAGCATGCGCACACGGCGAGGGCGCGCACATCTGTCGGACGGAGTGTGCAGAAACCGCGAGCGTGCCGAGGTGGCACGTAAAAACGTGCCGCGATGTCACAACTTTCAGCAGGGATTCCAGTATTAAGCTTTGTTTGATTCTGATGTCACACTTGCACAGTTACTGGGAGGGTTGGTCATGGCAGCTGGTTGTCATTGCTTGTTTGCTCTGTAAGCACAATGCATTTTGTTGACCAGGCATGGCAGGCTGTGTGGAGATACAGTCACATCTTCAGCTGTTTGCTTGTCATAATTTGTCTTTTTTGTTGTTGTTGTTGTTGTTGTTGTATTTGTCTTATTGTGGGAGAGCATCCAAACTGATGTCGTTGGCTGCTGTAAAGAATGAGATACGGAGTATTCTGCTGGATTAACAGAAGGTGCTCCCACACTGACTATCCACAGGGGACGGGCAACGTTAGTCTGCTATAAATCTCTACTTCTTACTGGTGAGTAACAGTGTAATAATATCCTCCAGGAAAAACTGTGACTTTAATGCATTCCATCAGGCTGCTTATTATGAAAACAATTTGTGCTTTTTAGAGCAAATTTGTTTTTTTGCCGATTGGCGATTGGGTGAGGAATGTATAACTTTATCTACTTGTATATGAAAACATTTGCCATGCTGCCATTTAAATAATATAGAGATTATTACAGATGTTACTATTGTACCTTTTGGAGTGTTGAATGATATCTGCTCATGAAAAGCCTTTGGCCAGAAACATGATGCACGTTGCTACCCAACCGTAGTTTTAAAAAACACCAACAAGTGGGGGATGGGTATATAGCTTTATGTTATTTTTTTTTAAGCTGGGAAATTGCAAGAAAAATAAAATCTTAATGTGGAATTTTAATCTGAGCTTCCTCTTGCAAAACCAAAACTGCTGTTATCACCAGGCAAACAGAAATCATTGATGTCATATTGGACCAAATTTTTCTAAGGCTAAATACAGAAAATCTCCATGTGCAGCAACAAATACAGCTGTTGCTTTTTTCCTTTCTTTTTTTGACAGTGCAGTCTACTAACTCCAGTGCTGCTGAGATTTTGCCAATGTCACATCAAAGCAACACCAGTAATCATTGTAAAAATAGAAGCGATTTGAAGGATATCTAATTAATACTCTTAAATAATCAGACAGACATGAGTCAGTCCCACAGCAGCTAAAGCTTCTCAGCAGACAGCTGAATTCAGACACCCATTATCCATCAGCAAACAAAGAAGAAGAAACAGCAGAATGTCACAGAGCTGTCGCCAAATTTATTCGGAAAAATTTTGAAGCCATTTATTATGGTGGAGTCGCATTAAACTATGCTCTGCCAACTGCTATTAACTGTTAACTCATTTCTCTGTTGGAGGAAAAAAAAAAAAAAAAAAAAAAAACCTTTTAAAAGCTGAGGCCTTAAAAGCTTCACAGCCATCAGTAAAACCATCATTTTCTGCGCATGCAATGGAATAAAAGTTCAGTTTTTCGCAGGCAAGAAACAAAAAAAGCAGCCTTACCTTCCCGAACTGTTCAAAATACTGCTTCACATCTTCCACTACCGTGTTGGCCGACAAGCCACCCACAAATATTTTCTTTGTTCTTGTGACCATCTGGAAGGAGAAAGGGTGAGAGGAGAAGATGAGTGACGAGACTTCAAATGCATTGCACAACCTTTAATGAGGCGCCAAAACACACTGAGTGAGCAGCACCTGCGATGATGGATGGCGAGAACGCGGAGATTCACACTGCAAAGTTTCAAAGACAATTCGGTGGTGTAGTGCCGCTTATCTAGCCGGGTTGTAAACACTGAAGGTTACAGCTTCGTGCAAGAGAAGCCATGACAGACATTCCGCCTTTTTCACATTTTTACAAAAAAAAAAAAAAAATCTTTTGGGATATTTTAAAAAAAAATATTGTAAAAAAAAATTTAGCTAAATTCATTTTGAGCAATAAACTATTTTTGAAGGATCGAGTGCTTTCTTGCCATCTTTAGTTCCCTCTACAGATGGATTGGGATCTAGTCTGGGTCCAACAATGACAACACAACACTCTAAATATAAATCTGCATAAAAATCTATAACATTTGTCTTGACCGGGATGTGACGTAGACCACTTTTCAAGTTTTGAAACGACTAAACAGAAAACTGGCCCCTTGCTGAGCTAAACGTCTCCAGTTTAATCTTTGAAGTTTCCATTTATGTTTTTGGAAAAATTTCAAAAAAGAAATGGTGATAATTAAAAAAAAAAAAAAAAAAAAAAAAACACGGATAATTTATGGACTTTCAAAAAACAATTAATGAGTGCTAGGAGATGGAATCAGAGTGCATTAAAGGCTCATTTAGCTTCAAACGGGAAGAATATTAAGGATTATTACCCACAGCATCTGAAAGGGCACAAACATCTGCTGCAGAGCACATGCTAAAATTAGGGGGGCAATTTCTCTGGGATCTACACCAGTATGGGTGGAAAAACCTGTGGGGGGGGAGGGGGGTTGACTTTTCTTTTGTTGTGCACAGGGCTGCCTCCATCAAAAACCAGACAGAGAATTGCAGATAAAATTAGAATTAAGTTATAAATTCTTTTTTTTTATTAAAAGCAACTACAATATTACCCCAACATCCGACTTCAACCCTTGTCGGCAGAGGTGTTCGTTTTCATGCCACACATTCTCCACGGGACTTTGGCTTTCTTTTTGCACCTTTTCTATGAGCCAAGATGTTTTGTCGTTTCATCTTCGACTTCGCAATTATGCGTTTTATCCCCCCTCCCCCGTTGCTTATCAAATAAAGTCCCCATAAAATTCATTAAAGTTTGAAATGCACTGGATACTTCACACAGCCTGCTGGTATAATCAGGAATAATGATAGGAGAGACTAAATGACAACTTCCACAACAATAATTGTCAAAACTGATGGTCTATCTGGCTAACTTGTATTCCTTGCACCTGTTTGGCAAATACAAACACAAAGACAGAAAAGCATGCATTACTGTGCAGTATTTTGCTTCCAAATGACACTTTGCCCAATGAAATATTTTCCTCGTCTCTTTGGAAGCCTATATTAAGAGATTGAGAATTCACTGATACGATGAAGCATATAATGATGCTTGATGCTCTGTAAGCTTGCAGACAAAAAAAAAAAAAAAAAA